ATAACAAAATGTAATGAAAAAACTTTTTAAAGGTTTTTTAATTGATTAAAAAGTTTTATTTTAGTGCTCTAATACGAGTAAGAGGGCGTAATTTCTATATCGTTTATACACACTTTCACTATTATAAAGAAATCCTTAGCTTTTAAATATTTGCTTTAAGAATAATTTTGTTTGCTATAAACCTGTGTACGAGTATCTATATCCGTACCTACATGCGAGATTGTTAAAAATTTGAAAAATAAATTTTCTAAGAAAATTAAGAGAACTATCTAAATTTGTTCAAAATATTAAAAATATTGATTGGATTTTCTCCATTTTTCAAAAACGAATTTTGAAATAAAAACAAAAATAACAAAAATAAATAAATACAATGCACTTGTTTTATAAGTAGCGATAATTAGCTTGTCTTACAATAAGAAATTGATCCAATTAAAAGTTGATTTGAAAAAATTATTTTTTTTTATATAAAACTATTTCTTTTCACATTAATGAAATTCAGGTAATTGATAAAATCAGTTTTTAACAAGTCTTTGAGACTTTTTATAGCAAAACTTATTTAGAAACCTATATAGAAGGTGTACATCACAAACTCTGGCATAAAAATTTTTTTGGGCTCATAGCCTTAGTAAAATAATTCTTGTATATTTTATGCCACACTGTTAAATTTATTTTTGTGAAATAAATATTTGCTTTTTCTTTAATTTTTTATTTTGTGTTGTAAATTGTAACATTCCGGCCATAGGCTCATTCTTTCCATAATCCATCACATTATCATGAATTTCAATTAGTTCAAACGTTTTGAAGTTTCCGGAATTATTTCTGAACAAGATTTGCTGAAATAACAAGTAAGAAATCACGATATAGCAAAGAAACTATGATAGATCAAGAGAAAAACATATACACTTTAACAACTATATTAACGTAACTATAAAATGCACTAACATTTGTTTGAAAGTAATATTACCTCCACTTTCTTATAAGATTTGGAGATGCTTGTTAGAATTAACAGCGCATTAATAACAACTTCCATAAAAGATTGTTTCTGTAGTAAAACTAAAACTTTTAATTAATTTAAAAAATAATTATCACAATAAAATTCACTCTTGTAAAACTATTAATTATCATTATAAATTTTACTTTTTAATTTTTTCTACTTTTCACGTTTCTTAACCTATAACTGTTTTCTTTAAATAATTTTTATTTGTACTGTTTTAAGTTTGAAATCTATGTTAGGACTCGTGTCTTCAACTTAAACGAAGTTTTTCAAAAATAATGATAAAAAACTTTTTTGCTGAATAAATAAGGACATATTCGTTTATAGTGAAAGTAAAGTAGTTGAACAAACAAAAATAGTAAAAGTAAAATAAATCTGATGTGATTAGACCATCACCGACCGCAATTTTTCTATTTTAGCAAAAGGTTATAGAAGATTGTAAAAATACTTGTTAAACTCTTCTTTTTAATATAAGGACGCTGGCAAGCTTTTGATCAACTGACCTAAAAAATGCGAAAGTTGGCTCTTAATTGAGTTTCGCTTTATGCCATCCGAATTCGCCAGTTAGTTTCGGTAACAACCAGAATACAAATATTAAATTTGAAGAAATTCCATCCATTCGTTACGTAGATATGGTAAAAAGTATAAATTCGGTCCCTTGTTCGGTTTTTAACCCTTGATCTTTCCAAAAAATTTATAGGTTCATTGTTTATTTTAAATTATACTAAAATTTAATATTGAATTTTTCCAATTTCTTGAAATTAAATATTTAAATTTAAAATTGCAAGCAAAAATGTAAGATCAGCCCAGAAAAAAGTCCAGTTCCAGAGGCCTGATATATCCCAAAAGTTGATCAATCTCTGACATAGCGAAAATAAGCTCACATATGAAATTCGGTTCAGCCGAACTTAAGATACACGCGTCCACACAAAGCCCGACAAACAGACAGACAGACAGACAGACAGACAGACATACAGACAGATCAACAGACCGACAGATCGACTTCCTGCTAAAAACAGTTTATTTACATTTCCTTTTTATATAGAAGTGTTCCCACCGAAAACTCGACATCCGAAATTAGTATGCATTCCGGTCGGCATATTAATTCAAATAAAATTGGGTAAATAAAAATTTCATATCTATTCGATAAAAACTAAATGGAAAAATATGTCCAGATATACAATATAGTAATATATCGATATACAATATGTATACTATAATGTATAAGATATACTGATACCAAGCTTTTTGAAATTATATGAGATGCAATTTAAAAATTTAATAAATTAAATGTTGTTGCGTAAAAAACCAATCAATAATTAGCACTTTTAATTTTATGTAAACTCAGCTATTTAAGAACTACATAATATCAAATTATTATTGAGCATAAAATAACAAGCTCGTGAAGAATCTTTGCAAACAATATTAAAACTATATGCCTTACGAGGGTATTATGAGGTTGCATTTCCGAATAGAATTTCGATTTTTTGGAATAAATGGTAATAAAATATACCATTTAATTTAAATTATTGGTAAAAACTTAATCTTCTTATTAAATGATAAGAGTAAGAATAAAATTTTCTATATTGGTTACATAGGAAACGAATTGATTGCATAACGAAATGCATAGAGAAATTGTTGTTGAATTTTGAGTAATAAATCGAATATTAAAAAAAAATTATTATAATATAACGCTTTTTTAATATAACGAATGTAATTTTGATATTTTTCATAATAGCGCGATTTGTCAGTAATTGTTTAATTATTGTTAACTGAATTAAATTAATATTAACTGAATATTTTGTATCTTTTAATGTGGTAAGAATTTATAACAAACTCTTTAATAATAAAATAGGTGACAATCCCATAAACTCTTTAAATTTCACAAAGTCTGTTTATACCTTATTTTCCCTTATTAAATAGATTATTCATTAGAAAGAAAAAACAAAATGAGTTCATGAAAAAATTTCAATACTTGCCCGAATTTTATCATGTATAATATCCTAATAATATGTTGAGCACTAACGAAACCCCTATATATAACAAATTGTATTATATTCTTTTATTTTTAGGCTATACATAAATCACGTTAATATTTTAAAAACAGACTTCAAATGCTATTTGTTTTCTGATTTTATATTACCATGGCCATGAATCTATCTGTAAGGATTAATAAAATGTATATTACTAAATAGAAAAGGTAAATGGAAATTTTTTGTTTTTTTTTTAGAAATTAAGATGTTTATTAAGTAGGTTGTCCTTTTATACAAATTTCATATATGTATGTAATAAATGCGTATAGTCTAGTAATTTTATTACAAAATGTTTTTTGTAGGTACCTCTATTATTGAAGCGAAATAATTCATGTATGTATAGAGTATTCTTTTTGAAGCACTACCTACAAGGAGACACACAGTTTATATTCAATATCCTGTAAATAAAATACTTACCTATACATGTACAACGTATCAACAATGAATATAATTTTAGCACGTCTTAACTATGAATGATGAGAATTTCCACTGATATTGTTTTTCAATTGTATTTTTTATATGATTTACAACACACATACATACATATATATAAGTTAAATTTTTTGTTTTAATAATTTTATGAGCGAAATTTTTTGAAAAGCTACTGTATAATTGTAAATGATTCTTACCGTTTTTTGATTCCAATAATCGACTTATGCACAAATAAATAATAGACTTTTATATTATATTCCACTGAAACATTCACATAAAAATATTTTATGATTATACATAGTATGTATAAGTCAGTGTTCAAATAAAAAGCAAAATGCAATTGAACATCGACTGCCAAACTAACTGTAAAAACTTTTTAGTTTTAGAATTTAAAAAAGAGGATTTGACAATTTGTTTTTTAAATTGGTAGTAAAATTAAATGTGGGAAAAAAGGAGGTTTTCCTTTTGGTTCACTGTATGTTTCAACTCTTAACGTAACTGTGTACTATCATGCCCACATACCAACTCTAGTTTTAAGCTAAATCATCAGTAATTTTTCATCTTTTCATAAACATTAAAGATTTTATTTTCAAAATAGAAATATCAACAAAATAATTTTAGATATTCTTTTCAAATAGTTTTCAAATAGTTTATATTATTTATTAGTTAATTTTTATTAATTTAAATTTGATAAACAATTTAACTTAATGGAAATTTCTATAAACAAGTTTTACACAAAAAATTTTTTTAATTTTCAAATTAACTTCACAATTTCAAGATCAGAATACCATAGTTAGTTCAATACTCGAAATTTTCATAATAATCCATAAAACGACAGCAGCGCACCACAATCTTACACAACCTTAAGTTTACAGATCATGAAATCGAGCCTCGAAATATTTTTGAATAGAAATAAATGCATCTTTAGGTATAGTTTTAGCATTATACTCGTATTTGGCATAAAAGAATGATTTTAGTTATCTGTAAAAAGAAGAGATATGAATTTTTGGATCATTCTGGATATGGACATCGTAAATACATCTTGCAAATTCAGAGGTATTTTTAAGTTTAAAAAAAATATACTCAATATAAAATTGTTCTTCTTTTGGAATTGTAAATTTTTGATTTAACGTTATAACTACAATTAATGGTCTTTTTTATAACATATGTAGTAGTAATCCGCTTAGCTGACCTTCAATTAACGAAAAAGAAGTATAATATCATGAATAATTCTATATTTCCCGGGTTGAAGAAAAAAATTTGTGGTTTAGTAAATTATGAGTCTGTCAATTTCTTAATTATAGTTTAATTTTGCAAAAAACCATTTCCGATTACAGACGTGTCTAAATCAATAATGTCCACTTCAGGATTCCTAAACATTAAATTTACATTAATGACAAACTGAATTATTATCGAAAAGTTAGCATATATCATATGTAAATTTAAATAAATTATTAACTACAAAATTATTTAAAAAATTAGTTTAATTTATGAAAAAAAATTTCAACTTTACAAAATACCATAAAAATATTTTTGTATACATACATATAAAACAACAATAATAAACATTACTACTTAATATCTTTTTTATTTAACCATGCAAAAACGCTTTGCTCATTTTCTTTTAACCATTTTATATTGATTTCTACATTTGCGATAGCTTGTTTTCTTGCTGAAGCTCCAGCACCAGCTTCAGGATATTCTTCAAAGAATGCTTTCATTTCTTTTAATTTAACTTGAGTGGCAAAACGAGAAGTTATTCCTGGTATCATGTTCCCCAAATAGCGTTCATTTAAACCAAAACGATCCACAAAATTTTCCCAATTTTCTCGTACATAATCCCATACAAGACTTTCTCCAATCGGATTTGACGAAATTATTTGTAAGCATGTAAAATAATCTTGACGTCGAACATTTTTCTCGTCCCACGCCAAGGCAATAAATCTAAAATTTATCAAAATATTTACAATATACATATATACTCTGAATCAAATTAATTTCTTAAAAATTATTTACTTGTTAAGAATCACTGTGTCTTCAATTGCGGCTAAACTAGTCATTAATCTAGATTTTTCACTAGCATCCGTTTCTGATAAATATTTTTCCCAAACTTTCTCCCAATTTTCTTCATTACCGGCTTGTTTCATGCCATACTTATAAACAATATTTGTTATATCTGGTTTAATTTTATTACCTTCCAACCAACTCAAGAATTTCTTTTCTGCTTCTTTGAGACATTTTTCATAACCAAAATAGCATGCGAAATCGAGTATTTTAATACGAAGTAAACTAAATATAAAAATTAGATATTTATTTCACAACATAGATAATATAGTAATACAAATTAAAACCAAATTTACTTTTGTAAATGATTCTCATCCTGTTCCCAACCAACTTGCTCATATATCGTTTTTATTAAATTTCTTGAATACTTAACGAATTTATCATTGGAAGGTGTAAATTTCAAAATGTCTCGCATTTTGCGAAGCTGGTTTGCTGCTACAGACCAAGGCACATATTCGGTTTCTTTTTCCAAATATGTTGTTAAATTCAATGAAATCCCATAATCTAACTGAGTTGCATCAGAAAGTGCAAATGCATCATTTAAGAGATGCGCTCTATCTGACACTGAGAAAGCCTATATATTTATTATTAATGATAATGAATATATAAAATATTTTAATTATTCTGAAAATATTTACATCCATTTTTGACAATAAGGCATCCGTTAATTCCTTCCATATTTCTGCGTTATAATTAACACGATAATAGCCTACTTGATTTTTATTAAGTTTGATCCATTTTGCCGGTTTTTTAAGTGTAAGTGAAACTAAAACCAAACACAAAATATTAAAATCAAAATTTTTCATTTCTGGATGTTATTTATATGTACACCACACCTTCAGCATCTTCATATTTGAACCATTTTCTTTCCACGCTTTGATTTTCACTAGTAAAGTATGTTATAGGAATTTCCCACCTATAACTATAATAAAATAAGATAAGCAATTTCAGCATTTTTGCAGCTACAAACCATTAATACTTACTTGTAAGGGGACTCTTCCACTTCCTTATTTTCATCTTCAGGATTAGCGAAAAACCTTTTTTGCTTCAATTTGTATTCAGTCTCACTAAGTTTTTCAACATTAACCACTGGCAGACCCATTTGTACAGTCCATGTTTGCATAATGTTTCTAAAACAAGTTCATTAAAATATATTCCAAGAAATGAAACTTATCGCATCTTACTCAACATCAAATTCAAAACCAACAGATGCAATTTCTGCTAACAAATCTTTCGTTTCAGCATTATTGTATTTGAATTTTTCTAAGTATCTGTTGACAGCTTTTTGGAACTGAGCTTCTCCAACAAATTCTTCTAACATACGAATAACTGCCGAACCTTTTTGATAAGTAATTTTATCAAATAACTCCGTAATCTGATCAGGATTTTCCACTATTTGAACAATAGGATGTGATGCTAATGTAGCGTCTAAAGTTAATACGTCATGAAAACCATCAATTAAAAATTGATCCAACTGTAATAAAATACTATATCGCTCAAATTATTAAATAGAAAAATCACATTTATACCATTTTCCAACTAGGTTCTGCACGATCTAACCCTTTATACTGGATATAGCTGGCAAATCCTTCGTTTAGCCATAAATCGTTCCACCATTTCATTGTTACTTGAAAAGAAATTATTTGTTTATTTGCATACACACATGTTATATTTAGTAAATGCATAAGGCAAACACATTTTTATATACCTAAATTTCCAAACCACATATGAGCTAGCTCATGTGCAACAACACTTCCAATACGTTGTTTGTTTACTGTCGAACTAGTTTCAGAATCGAAAAGTAATGCCGTTTCACGAAATGTTACCAAGCCCCAATGCTCCATCGCACCAGACACAAAATCTGGTATAGCTGCCATATCTATATAAAATAAAAATCTTAACTAGATATATGTAGGTATAAAAAAATCCGAACTATAAAAGAAATATAATAATTAATATAATTATATACATGATGTATGTATGTATTCTTTTTTTTTGGAAAATAAGATAAATCTTATTTACACTTTATAACACATCCTTTCTAAAATAAAAAAACTACATTTTATTTTTGAGTATGTACTACATTTTATCCATAAAACACAATTAATTTTAAGTGTTACAGAACACTGTAACCTTAAAATTAATTTTAGTAATAGTTGAATTTATTTTTAACTTTTCGCGAAGAAATTTAAATACAAAACAGCTTTACGTATTTATTTATTATGTATTTAAATAGATAAGTAATTATTTTATCTAATAATCTATACTTGAAAAAATAAATTAAAACCAGCTTACCTAATTTTGGCAATGGATATGGGATTTGAAAGTATTCTATATAATATTCCGTTATAGTTTTTCCAGTTTGAAGAGCATGTTCAACCTTATCTAATTGGGCTGGGGTTGCAAATACTTGCAAACTAAAATTTTTACCAATTCCTTTTGTGTCTACCGAAATATTTTTGGCAACAAAGTCTGAAACTATGAAACACGCAAGGTACGTACTCATTTTAACGCTTTCATTAAAAACTGTTCTTGTAAGATCACCATCAGGTATCTCTTCCTAAAATTTATCAAATTTTAAAAATTGTATTCTTCAAAAAATTGAGAATCTTTGTGGATATTTAACAAAATTGTGCTTGTACTTACTTTTATATCCATATTTGATAAAGCATTGTAATTATCCTTAGTTGGACGAACCAATGTCACAGAAAAATTCGCTTTCATATCTGGTTCATCGAAACATGGAAATGCTTGTCTAGCATATGTTGGTTCGAATTTTGATGTTGCAATTAATCTGTGTCAAAATTAAAAAAAAAAACATTTGATTTAATAACTAAGTTAAACTGATGTTGTATTTCATTAATAAAATAAAAATTAAGAAATTTAACTCTCTACCTAGTTTCATTTTGATTGGGATCAAAATAAGAACTTTGGTAAAAACCAACAATTCGATTGGCCAAACTTCCAGTAAAATTTAAACTAATCCAGTATTCCCCAACAAATAAATCCTCTTTAAATTCCATTACCCAATATTCGAATGGCTCATATATGAAACTATTGATGGGAAATATTGGTGATGTTGGAATACCATCGTTATCAATTCTAATTATTTTTGTATCCGTAATATTTAATAATTTTGAATGTACTGGTATAAAATTAATAGGTTTCGAAATATTTACTTCTATTGTTACCGAGCCCGAAAATGTTTTTTCTTTTAAATTCGGATGCAAATATAAATCATATCGTTTTGGTTTTATTTCACGAGGTAATCGAAATTTTAATTTATTTATTATTTTCGACATTTTCAATTTAAATAAATTTGAATCTTCACTAAACGAATCAATATCGAATGAATTTTTATCAGCTGTTTCTGACATTTCAGAAGCATTTGTTGTACTATTGCTGCTTTGAGTAGAACTTCCACCACTTGTTGCTGTAGCTGATGTTTTACTTTTGATATTTTGAATATCCTCTTGTGTTACTTTGAAAATTATTTTAGGTTTTAATTTAATCACATGTTCATCATTATCATTTTGATTATTTCTATTTGTACTTATCACAGTATTATTCTTATCCAAATATAAATTATATGAAATATTATCACTATTTAAAGAATTATTGGCTAAACTTTTTCCAATTAAAATGATTGCTGAGAGCAGTATACCACAAAGTATTAACAAAACTATACAGAATCCACATAATGTTCGCTCTAAATTTGTAAAGCTTTTTGTAGTGCAACAACCACGGCGAATTCGTTGTTCATCTGGTGCTGTTGATAAACTTGAACGCGGTCTTACTAGTAAAGCTTTCGGTTGATTTGGTGGATACATTGGCCGCGATTTTAATAATACGTGTTGATGTCTGGCTAGTATTTTGAAGCGGTTTGTAGAATTTGTAGTTTTAAAATAAAAAAAAAATTTGCCAACAATCGTATTTTTTTATCGTTATTTGCATTTCTGTTTTTACTTTAAAATATTTATAGTTTATACACACATAAATAATGTTGTTTAGAATGTGCTGTGTAATATTATAAAAAATTAAAAACTAAAATCCTAGACGAAACAAATTAAAAGCTGAAATATACACATAATAATATTGTTTTAGCTAAATATGTAAATTGCTATAATTTTTGAAAAAAATTTCAAACTGTTTTACCCCAGTTTCCTTTTAATCATATGCAACTTAGATAAAATTAAACACAGTCGATTTCCTAATGATTTTATCTAGTAATTTTAAATAAAAATATTAAAATCAAATGCTTTTATTAACTCTGTTCTTTTAAAGGTGTTTTTTTACTGGAAGGACCTATTTTACAAGAATTTAATAATTTTTTTATACATTTAGAGAGATTTATTTTGAGCTTTAAAGGGGACAAAAAATTATTTGTTCTTTTTTATCTTAATGGAAATTTCTTCATGCAACTGCAGAACAGATGGATGACGTAATCAAAGGAACGAGTTAAAGGCAGAAAAATTATTCATTAAAAAAAATTTTTCTCCTCGAACTGGACTCGAACCAGTGACCTACCGCTTTCTAGGCGGACGCTCTACCAACAGAGCTACAGAGGCATGAAGAAAATACCAGTTCGAGGAGAAAAATTTTTCTGCCTTTAACTCGTTCCTTTGATTACGTCATCCATCTGTTCTGCATTTGCATGAAGAAATTTCCATTAAGATAAATTAGTAGTGTAATAGGCACATTCTTATTGATTCCGCAACTATGATGTTGTATTAGTAAAATTCATAATATAATTAGTGGAATAGGCACTATCCTATAAATATATATGTTCTTGTTATTGTGTGTTTCAGTGGATTGTATGTAGCAATCAATGTAAACAAAAAACAAATACTTAGTAATCATGTGAATTACAGTATAAAGCAATGTAGAGAACATTTCGTCGGCAATTTCTTCATGCCTCTGTAGCTCAGTTGGTAGAGCGTCCGCCTAGAAAGCGGTAGGCCACTAGTTCGAGTCCAGTTCGAGTCCAGTTCGAGGAGAAAAATTTTTTGTAATGAATAATTTTTCTGTTGCATGAAGAAATTTCCATTAAGATAAATTAGTAGTGTAATAGGCACATTCTTATTGATTCCGCAACTATGATGTTGTATTAGTAAAATTCATAATATATTTGTTCTTCTTATTATTATTTTCAAGGAGGAAATTAAAAGAATTATTTTTAGGATGAAGAAAACGAATGTTAAAACAAATGTCTACGATTTTTTTTAGCTTTCTTTTTAATATAATTTTTCTTCTTTTAGTACAGTTTTTCAATAAAATTGTTAATTTATTTGTTCGTTGGCAGCCCTGTTTAAAATTTTTCCTCAGAAGGAACTGCTATAAAAATGCTAACTTAATTAAAGGAAAATGAGTGAGATTTTTGAGCAAAAATCTTATTCTCAAAATAATTTTTTTACCGGTAATCGATTTTATTGATCTGAATTTTAAAATTTGTATTGGAATGGGATATATACTTATGTACCTACATAATTAAAATATTTATCAATATACATACATACATATGTACATACATAATACTTAAACTATACTCAAAAATAAATATGATGCAACTCTTCTTTAAATCTTCTAAAAGCACAGCTGCATCATATCAATTTTGAGTGTAGTCACATATACAAGAATGTATAACATATTATTCATGTACAAGAATATGTGCATATTTGTGACAAAGCAATGAATGATTTTAACCTATTCCGTCTTCTTTTTTTGTTTGTTTAAAGTTAGAATATGGACTGCAGTTCGAAGAAACATCTACATACATACATATGTAAATGAAGTCGCAACATCAATTTGATTAATCCAGCAATTAAAATTGTATACTTAAGAAACTTTTTGGGTAAGGGAGAGGTTTTTAAAGTAAATAAGTTCAATTAAATTTTTCCTTTCAAGTTATAGCTGCTATCAACAGAAGGAACAATATTCTGAAAAGCATTATTTCTTGTAATTTAATACTTTTAATTATATGTACATGTGTATGTATCTACATACTTATGTATCTATGGACTTCCTTAAATATGACAAGTACACATCAGAACGAATTAATTTACCGGTTTAATGCAAAATATTTTATATTAAGATTTCACTTTAAAAAGGCCTTTTTTGAATAACTTTTTTATTACGATCAAATGTTACTTAGTAACAATATTTTGTGATATAAATACTATAGATTTGTCACCAACTTGCAATTTATTTTATATCGAATTCAAGGTTCTTTCAAATCAATTCGAATCAATTTATGTATATACCTATGTACCTATTACCTATAAAGGTTTATATTCGATTTGGTGATTTAAAAAGTGAAATAGAATTGTAAATTGCAAAAATCGATTGACTAAACATTATTATTCATAATGAATCTATTGAGTAGAAATAGATTAATACAAACTTACATATGTATGTACATATAACTATACACAGACATAAACATGTATATAAACAATATTTCCTACTTTCAAAAATATCATAAAAGGCATAAATTTTAAATTCAATTAAGAAAAAATTTTTTGATATATGCAAGTCAATCATAAACGTCTATTATGTCAATTAAATGCAAAGTTTGCTTTAATCAATAAATTGGTATTTTATTTTTAAAATTATATTTTTGTTAAACTTACCTATAAGGCCTACCTTAAGAACAAAATGCGGTTTAATACGAATTAAGTTAGAAATCAATTTATTTTATTTTTACAAGAACTTTTCTAAGAGAAGTTGTTAACTTCTATAAAATAAAAGAGGCAATGTAAATTTTAAATGTCAATGACTTCCATAACCTAATCCTAATGTATAAAGACGAAAGTAAAATAACATTTGAACTACTAAAATCCAATAGCCATGGGCTATATTTCGTAAGCAATTTATTCATTTTCATTATATACATACATACATACATAAAAATTTACTGCTCGTACAAAGAATTTTTAGGATTTTTTTTTTAAATGTAATGTAAAGTTGAAATTCTTTTATTAACGATAATCTTAAAATATTCCATGACACTGTATTACACTTAGTTTGTTCAATATATGTATTAACAAATAAAATAATAATTCGTTCAAAAGTTAAGGACCAAGTACCTATAATTCGATATTTTATCGCACATTTGGCTTATATTAGAATTATTGAAATATGTTCTAAAAAATTTTATTTCAAAGGATTTATCATACTATATTGAATAAAGCCTTTAAAAACTAATTGAAATTTTTAAAAGCATATTAAAAGATTTGACCCACGGTTTTGCAATAGCACAGTTTTCTCAAATTAGTGTTGTAATTAAGATAAGAGTAGACAAGCAAAGATTTTCCACAATTTCTTTAATAAATTTAAAAAAAAAATAAAATATGCATTTGGTAACGCTCTAATCTAAAAGCTTCTTGTAGAAGCCAAAAAAAAATAAATCTACTTTTTCAGATAAAACTTAATAAAAAATCACAAAAATCACTTGTAATTGAACCAATAATTTTATACAGGAGCTTTTCACCAATTAATTTCAAAAATATTGTTGTCACAGGATGAATTCAAATTAAAAATTGACGTGTTAAAAAAAAATTCATTCCAAATTGTATATACATATGTATGTATGTTTATACAATGCATTTATATATATTTAAATGATTAGTCTTAAGTCTAGTTCCTCGAAAACTTGATATTTTTTCCCCCTTTTAATTTTTTTTTTTGTAATTTTTAGGTTTAAACGCAAAACAATTTTTTTTACTCTTCTGTATATTATCTAAGTAGTCCAACAATACAACATAGAATTTAAACTTAAATATTATTTCAAAAATAAAAAAAAAATATTAACACAAAAAATTAATTTTTCTTAAAATAGTTAAAAATGGACCGAACTGATAACTCTCACTTTATTTAAAAACTGGAAAAAAAAATAATGTGAGAAACTAATAAATCATTGAAATATTATGCTTAGTGAAATGTCAAACTTAACACTTGTTAAACAAGTTCACAGTTGATTCACATTATGGTTGCGGTAAAATACAGTAATATTAATAAAGGCGTCTAAAAAGGGTAGGATTGTTGTTACTAATTTTACAAGACAAAATTTGTGCAGAATTTGTGCATGCAGAGAATTTGCCTTCTGTTATATTATAACGGAATTTGTTTTATTTCAAATTAATAGTAATTAAAAATATTTGCTAATTCTTTTATAACGAAGTTATTGAAATTTATTAACTACAATATTAAAAAAAGAAATTAAAATAAATAGTAAAAATCAAGATGTCTCAGAAATATAAAAATTACTCGTTTCTGTTTGGCTAATTTAAAATCTCTAACGCAAATTCTGAAATTTTGAAAATCCGATATACGAGTATGTACTTAAAATGACAACTTTTTCGGTATGGCAATTTCTTTTCTCTTTGAACATATTATGTTTAGAGTACTGATAAACAATACTTTTTTCATTTTTTTTCAACAGGAAATTTTTTCATAGAATAAATTTCCACCCATTTTCACAGTTAAATGAAAATTTCATATTTCAATTATTAATTAGAGTGATTTGCTTTTAATATAATTTTTTTTGATTCGACAAACTATAATTACAAAAGTGTTTTATTATATTAATATGCCCTTCCACAACGAATACGCCCATGATCAAAAACGAATAAAAATTTAGGAAAAAAAAAGGTTTTCTTATTATTTTATCGCAGTTAGAGTTGTTAAAAACGGGAATTACAAACGCGCTTACTTTTGAATCAGTAAAAGTTTAAACCCGTTGGAGCTCCCTACAAAAACTTGTAAAAATTGTAAAAGGTTACAAAATCTAGCTTAACAAACTGGAAGGGCATGATGGCGTATTGAATACAAAATATTGATGCGGTAAAATATTACTATATGGATGCTGACATTTTTAGCATCACATCAAAGTTTGTTTCACTTCAAACCAAGTCTACATCTATTAAAATAGGACTTAAATATGAAGGTATCACTTAATACGACATTTACATGTACATATGTATGTGGTGTATTATTTTAACAAGTTTTGAAAAATTTGT